CCCTTGTGAGGGCATCCACATCCGGCATACTTGGCAAATGATCAAGGTAGGGAATCTCCCTTGAATGAAACGTCACGTGGGACTCGTACACTCTTGGTCTAACGAGGGGTGGAGCATGCTTCCTCGTCAAATCAAGTCCAACATTCTCTTCCTCGTCATCATCACCCTCATCAGGGAAGGGTGTGTCATCTCCAGACTCATCGACATTGTTGTCATAATCACTATTCTCTTCCTGACTCTGTGCATCTGCCAAATCCCGATTAAATATATCGTCTTCGGGAAATTGAGTAAGGACATGACCTTCAGGATGCTCGTTTTCACTGCACAACCAATAGAATAATGAGTTGCTCAAATTGATAAATACTTACATATAGCTATATCACTTTACTTACAAATCGTAATGTGTTGACATCCCATGATGGACATTATCCTGTTGGTGATGACTCCCGGATGGAACATCATAATCCAACACACCAAAACTAGGCATATTTCCAACTGGGCGTTGGTTCATAACTTATAAAATTCATATCTGGTCGGTACCCCATGTGGAATATATAAGTGTTAATACAAATTCAATACAGCAAAAATAAACATCGTAACACAAAGAAAAATTGAAGTTTACCACTCGTCTTGTGGATTATGTAAACTAGGAGAGAAATTATTTTCCCGTTCCTCATTCGCCCGTGGAGATAAGTTTATATCAGGACAAACTCTTTCATCCGGAACCTGTTCGGCTAAAATTACTCCAAAATAACCACCCGATGACTGAGGGATATCCCTGCTTTGCGCAACCTGATTATTGCAAACGTCTTCAACCTTGACGTACATTTCCAGTATTTTTATAAAAAATAATTCCCGGTATTCATCCGGAGTCCTCAAAAAATCTCTCAGAGTTTGATCGTCCTCGATGTTAAACTCATCATAACAAGCAACCCCTTGCGGAGTGACAAAATACAGATATCTTCCGGTTACTTTAAGGTTCACTGAACGTTTGCTCACACTCATTATTTTACATAACAACGATACCAATTTATCGTATTCCATTGTAAGTGGCAACTTAACATGACACTGTGTTGATAAACTATAGGTTACTGAGTTATTCACCACCACAACCTCCCCCCCCCCCAAATATAATGAAATCTTTACTTTTCGCTCTTCAGACATTATGACAAAATGCAAAACAATTTAACGAATTTTTTTTTAGAAGACTTGAGAATATTTATGAATGGATTTTTAGAAAATTCTTAACCTCCTTAAATAGGGCAAAAACCAGTCTGGGGTACAAATGTTTTAGGTATAGCGCCTTAAATAAGGGCGCTATACCCAGTTGAATTATTATTATGTCAGTTAAGCCCAGAAGAATTATTGGTGGGCCCATAAAATATGTATAGTGCGGTAATAAAAGGCGCTATACCTCCCGTCTTTTCAAATTCACGTGTAATGCCTTTTTAAAGGGCGCTATACATATTTTGGTCACTATATTTTTCCCCCACACATTTCGGTCGTTTGAGTCCAAATGAATCACATTTTGATTCTGGATTGGCAACCTTATAGTTGCTCTATCCTGAGGTAGAATATATATATATATATATATATATATATATATATATATATGTTGAACTTTTATGTATGACAGATTATTTGCAAATTCATCTTTGCGGCAACTGACGCATAACCTGTGAGTGAATCTACAATTTTTCAAAAGGCTTCCAAAAAAAGAGTGTGCTAAGGTACCTGCAAATTCAAATAAGAGGAAGAAAAAAGATACATCATCTGACTCTGAAGATGAAGAGGTAAATAGTGATGAGGAGAGTGACAACTATGAAGAATAATCTAGCGAGCGAGCTAGGTCTTCCGGTAGAGGTCAAGGAAAGGATGTTGCCAAAGCTACATCAAGTAAAAAGGGCAGTGGTCGTGGAAGAAGTCGACCTCCATCGGCAAATAAAAGCTCCCAGCCTGAAGGAAAAGTAACGACAGGTAAAAGAGGAAGGCCCGAGAAATCGTAAGAGTACAACTTTTTTGGTTAAGTTAAAAGCTCTCAATATCATCAAACGTATCTTATTCTCCACTGCCTCCTTAGTTACACTAAAAGTGAATCATTTTCATCATTATTTCCATTCTACATTTTGAAATTTAGCAAGTGTAAAATATTTGTGCTTTAAATTTGTAATCTGTATTGACATAGAGCATTAACCACCAAGATGGAAGTGTTTGTCCGAGTTTGTATCTGCTCAACTCTATATCTATGGTTGACAGATGTTAACAGATTACAAGGATGATTCCTTGGACACCAAAGTTGATATTCTTGTTAGACACCAAAGTTGATTGTGTAACTATAATTAATGTTTAACCATCGCAATTCACGTGAAGTTTAATATATCAATTGTCAGAACTGTTACGAAGCGTTGAAAATTGATAATATATTAACAAACCTTCATGGAATGAACAACGTATCACCAAAAGTGAGATCTCATAAATATCAAACCAGGTAAAGGAACATGGTGTTTTCCTTAGACAATTTAGAGTACTATTGGAAACAATTGCAAAAAGAAAAATTACGCTAAACAACTATTGGGCTCATGCTTAGCACGGGTAACACCCCACTAGTAACACATAAAGAAGCCATATTCGTCGTCTAGTTAAATAGAAATGGTGCCTTATCTGTGTTATTTTTTCAAGTATAATCACATAGGGCATACGGGAAGGGGGAACAAAAAGAGGAAAGAGAAATAGGCAAAGAAGAGTTAGACTTTCCACTTAACACGATGAAGAATGAGTACTGCCAAGTGAGCAATATCCCAATCCCTATGTGCTTGTGCGACTGATGAAAGGGAATGAGGAGTGGTCGGCTTAGTGGGGAATTGGAGATGGAATCTTATATTTCCTCAATTGAGGAATATATTCGGACGGGAAGCATCGACGAAGGCTGTTTGAGATCCTCAAGTAGTGTAATGTGGTGCAGTGAAACAATTCCATGGTCTAGAGTTCAAATTTTGAATATTAAAAAATGTTTGATAAAGAAGGCTTTCTTTTATATTCTGTCATATACAACATAAATTTGAATTAATTGGACTACTAAATTTCGAATATTGAATTGTGTTAAGAAAAAGAAGGCGTCTTTGAGCCTTTGGCTGATCACTATCCTTATCCTTTTAGTTTGCAACTTTTGTAATTTGCAACGGCAGTCCACTTAATTGGACTATATCTTCTGTTACCTCTTTACGAAAAGTGACAATGATATATTTGTACATCTCAACTAAACTAAATTAAATATTTATTTTAACAAGAGGGTTAGTCCTGAATAAGTCGTCCTCATCTTTTAACTTACGAAATGGAAGGTTTCACGCTAAGAGTATATAAAGAATTATTGCTAAATTCTTTGAATGATAGGAGAACAAAGAGTGTAAATTTGATTATTTAGTTTCTTAGTTAAATAATATCCTTTCTAAGATAAGTTAAATAATGTTCTTTTTTTTATCACCGTAATTTATGTCAATTCACTTTCTTTTTTTCCTCCATCGCATGTCCCGCTTCATTTGAAATGAAGCCATGTTTACAGCAAAGATAATTGGGGGAGGGGTGACAAAAATAATTCTTTATATTTGAGCAACTTTAGTCTTCTATGTTTGGTAAAATGATTATTTTTATTTTTGTTACATTTAAACCACGCGACAATAGTAATTTTGTGAAATTGGATCATGAGAAGCACATGATCTATTATTCTCTCTGTCCCAATTTATGTGACACTCTTTCTTTTTAAATCAATCCCAAAAAGAATATTAATTTTTTATTTAGAAATATATTATCTTTAGAATTCTTGTTTTATCCTTAATGAATTGATTTGTAGCGACATAAATATTTATAATTTATTTTAAATAATAAATTTTAAAAGTTTTTTTCTTTCTTAGACTCGACGACTAGTGTTAAATTGGGAAGAAGAGAGTAAAATAGAGACACCATGGAGTCAAGTTTCTAATTAATTTCTTCCGACTCGTACCTCACAAAAAATGTATTTATATTACTTGAATTGAATATTTGAATATCCGTTCACCGATTGACACGTGTCCCCATTCCCTGGAACCACTCATACTTAAGCAAGTGAGAAAAAAAGCCTTCAAAATGATCCATTTTAGGCCTTCCAAATTGGCCTTTTAACCCACTCAAAGACTACAGTTGAATTCAACTCACAACTATAAAAATCCTTTTCTAATCGTTTTTTCTAAGAAATAAAATGATTTTAGATTATTAAAATCCGAAATAACGAAAGGGCGATTTTAACCACACGTGCACCGCACGAGGCTGTCACCTCACAAACCAATGGGCATGCGTTTATCAAAAGTGGGACCCGTCACATGAGAGTCACCAACTTCTCCTCATATTCCCCACTATCTTTCTACGCGCTCTCCTCAAGCGCGTCTAAATCACCCCTCCACGACAACAATCTCTGCAACTAGCAACTGTAGTACTAGAATACAAAATTCGCAGCCAGCCAACCAAAATCAACGCTCACCGTTCAATTCCGCCGGTGATGAAACCTCCCCAAAATCCGCACCTACGATTTAATCTACACCATAGGATTTATGCGTACACTATACAAGTGATTGATATACGTTTATGAGCTTTATGATTGGCGTCTGCCTCCGATTAATCATGGAGCTGTTTGATTCTCAATTGATTACTTTTTTGCTTTTTTAGGTAATAATCATTCGTTATACCCTTTTCTTCTTCTTCAATAATTTTGATATTTTTCTTTAATTTGAGTTATTCGTATGTGTGCTAATGGAAATGGCTTATCTTGATTTTTAGCTTCCTTCTTTATTGTAATTGTTTTGGGGTTGGTGATAATCTGGTGATTATATTAAATCTTTTCCCGTGTGGATAATCCTAAAGGAGTGATTTTTATGTTTGCATGGCTTCATGACTGTAAATTTATCTTTTAATTTTATTTTTTTTGATTATCTGAGTTGCAACTCTAATTGGATTTCTCTTGTGGGGAGGTGGGGGTGGGGGAGAAATTGTCTCGAATAACCTATTATCTCTCAGAATTAAATGGTCTGAGCTAAGAACAAATAGGGGTTTCATATAGGCATATCAACTAGTTGGAATTAACTTAGTTGATAGAAAGCTTGCATGAGGTCAGGAGTTCCCTCGGAGTATTTTTAATCTCATTAGCAACTAGGAATAAGTGCGAGATTTTAGAGAAACTCTAATTTTAGAATTTAGAGAACCCCTAATTTGTCTTATTCACCAATATTAGAATGAAATAAGTCCGAGTAAAGCAAAATGAATATTAGAGGATTCAAATATATAGCGCATTCCAACTAATTTGGGCTTGAGGCATAGTTAATTGATCGAGTTGCCTGTTTTTGTTTAGATTAAGTTGGTTGGGATTATAAAGCTTCAATATTGACTCTAAGTCTGGACTTCTTACAGCTCTGCATTCAGTTTTTCTGGTTGGGGTACTTAGATAAAGGCTGACGCTTTAGGTTATAGCGGATGTCTAGTGCTAAATTAGCTTGACGCGATCAATTCTAATCAGAGCAAAAGAAAAAGATGAAGATAGGAGGTTAGTCTTACTCTTTGACTGTTAGGAGGTTAGTCCTTTATAGACAGGGTTTAATTAGCAAGTGGGTTCTTCTTGCATTTGGAAATTTACTCATCTCTTATCCGTACGTGACGGCGCTACACAGCTGTTTAACATTGTCCAACTCAGTGCTACTTTAGTTTGGTACTGTCTCACTTAAGTCATATTCTTTTTTTGGATTGAAACCAAAGGCATACGAGCCTTTTTCTGCCAACACAAGCTATGCTCACGTTTTGTGCTAAATTACTTGATTTTTTTGCCAGTAATCTCGACTCTCATTACTTTGTTCTTGCATGGTTGAATCCTTACTATACACGCGAGAGAATGAAAACCTTGATGTCAACCTAATGGCTTTCGTTCTGAATTCATGGCAGAAATCATAAATCTTCTTGTTTGACTCATCAATGAAATAATCCTGTTGGGATTTCTAATGTGGATAGATGTGAAAAATGCATAATACTTCCTTGTGTAGGAGCTGTAATGATGCAATTCAACTTTATTTAATTCAACATTGCTACAACATAAGATTGTGACTGTGATGAGTTTCTTTTTTTTTTTTGATTTTGCACCGGGTGTCCGAGTCTCTTTGAGCCCCGACTAATCCCGGGGGTGCATAGGCCCTCGGCAAGGAGTTTCCCGCAAGTGCACCACGGTTAATTCAGGTTTTACCCAGTCCGATGGCCCTCAGAAATTGTTTGCACCCAGTGGGTTTCGAACTTGAGACCTTGAAAGGGAGCAAACCCCAAGGCTCAAGTCAATTGCCACAGGCCAACCCCTGAGGGTTGACTGTGATGAGTTTCTTTGGTTGGCAAGGTTGCAATAGTAGTGTTAAATTACATAGAATTACTATGGTCACAAAAACGATTCCAGATGTACCATGTGTTCTACTTGGCAGTGCCAGTGTCCTGCATCATCGAGCGCTTGGTTGTAAGTTTGCTGTCATATTTTGAAATATAACTTTCATGTGTTGGGTTTTAGCATGTACCTATCTTGCACTGTTTATTGAATTTTCTCCATTGAAAAAACTCTGCTTGACCATCTAAATTATCCTTAATATGTCAAGACTCTGAATTTATCTTGTATATTCCTTTTCAGCTGTAGTACCCTTGTTGTTTTCGTTCATAATAATCCATGCTACTGCCTATTGATGTTGCTAACCACTTAATCTTTAATATAGTTACTACTTTTTTATTCTTTCAAATTTTGTGTCCAGTTATGAGCACTGTGGGTGTTTAATAATCCTAAATGCAATGTATGCATCGTATTGGCTCTGAGGTTCTTGGGGTTTTGAATCTGATATCCTGCCGGTGATGCAGGATCTGGCCGCAGGTGACTAAGAAATTAAAAAGACACTATTTGAGGTGAATATAGCAGTGTGCGGTATTCCTGCACAAAGTTCAAATGGAAGCACGTCCTGTCGCTGTTCAAAGTGTGGTTGCAAGTCAACTCAGTAATTGTGGTGCATCAGGGGTACTTTCTTCTTCTTCTTTCCCTATGCTTCCAACAGTCCTAGGAGAGAAGTATCCTTTGTTGCCAGACTCGCAGCAGGCTTCGACGGAGAAGGAACTCAAGCAACATCCTGGAACTTTTGTTTCTCATTTGCCTTCCAACAGTGGGGCTGTTGGTCTTATGTTTTCATCATCATCAGGATTCTCGGCGGATCTTCATTTCTCATCCGTTCGACCCCAAGAAAATCACTCAGGACCTGCACCTTTCATTTCTCAGTCAATAAATAGTGAGACATCAATCCTATTACCTCATTCTGGAGTTCTTCAATCCACAGCATCTAGCCAATATTTGAATGAAAACAATGAACCCTGGTGTATAGATCCATTGCCTGATTTCCTTGACTATTCGATGAATACTCCTGTCCAAAATAGTCAGCTAGCTTGTAGCAATAAACAAAGTGATTGGCAGGAATGGGCGGACCTCGTAATCAATGAGGAAGATGCTCTGACTTCTAATTGGAACGAGATCATGGCTGATACAAGCCTTGCCGAGACAGAGGTGAAGGTCAGCTATATTCTGCACTTTGCTGAATTTTAATCCTCATTCATTTGCTTTTCTTCTTCTTACTCTTCTTATTGATGATGAAAGAACAAAAGGAGACCCATTCTTATTTTGTTTGTTGTGTGATCAAAGATGCAATATCAGGAGGAAAAACAACCTTCAAATTTCCCAATGCAGCAAGTCCAAACATCACAGCAAATCCCAGCTGTGGCTGTAGAAAATTCAGCTATTGCTCCTGCATCATCCCCTGCAAGTGGTGCTGCAACAAAGCAACGCATGCGTTGGACACCAGAACTTCATGAAGCCTTTGTGGAAGCAGTCAACAAGCTTGGTGGAAGTGAAAGTGAGTTCTCTCCTTGTTGTGCATCATAAATCAATTTTTTAGTATTATGCTGTTGTCTGACTCAGGATTTTACTTGAACTGCAGGAGCTACTCCCAAAGGTGTGCTAAAATTGATGAAAGTTGAAGGTTTGACCATCTATCATGTAAAAAGTCACTTGCAGGTTTGTGCAACCTCTTGTCCTCAAACTGGTTCCCTTTTGAGATGTACCTGTTGTTTCTCCTTACTGATATCAGATTAATTTTTTTTTACTGAAATGCAGAAATATCGAACAGCTAGATATAAACCAGAAGCATCAGAGGGTATGTAAAAATTTCTCATTGTTTTGTGTCTGTCTCAGGAATTGGACTTGTGCTGTGTTTGAGATCTTCGTGTGCGTGGTATTTTTGCCATGCTTGGGTTGGGAATTGTTTGAGATATGTTAAGAACTGAATGAGATAATGTCACGACCCAATTTCCCCTCCGTGTGACGTCGTGACGGCACCTAGTCTCTACAACTAGGTAAGCCTAACATTTTGCGGAATAATGAAATGAAAACATAAATTTAACCAACTATCCAAAAATACACAACAAATCCCAAAATCCGGAACATCGTGAATCACAAACTACAGAAGGAAAATCTAGTGTCTCTATACATCAGAGTCTAACAAAAGAAAAATACAGAAGATAATGGACATGTAGAAGAGTAGAAGGGGACTCCGAGGTCTGCGGACGCGGCAGATATACCTTGAAGTCTCCAAAGCTGTCCCGGCTCACCGATAGTGCGG